TGAGCTCCACAGAGTCCCAGCAGGAGACCAGTCCCTGTGCTCCTCAGAGTCCCAGCAGGAGCTCAGTCCCTGTGCTCCTCAGAGTCCCAGCAGGAGGCCAGTCCCTGTGCTCCTCAGAGTCCCAGCAGGAGGCCAGTCCCTGTGCTCCTCAGAGTCAGAGTTGGTCCCTATGGCACTAACATGTCACTGGCCACGGAGAGACCCGTTTTAAAGTCTATTCTTTGAGCCACAGGGATCCAGAGCAGAGACCTGAGACCTGGACTAATGTGATGGTACTGTGCCTTGCGAAAGTATTCGGCCCCCTTGAACCTTTCAACATTTCGCCACATTTCAGGCTTCAAACATAAAGATATAAAATTTTGATTTTTTTGTCATGAATCAACAACAAGTGGGACACAATCGTGAAGTGGAAAGAAATGTATTGGATAATTTAAACTTTTTTAACAAATAAAAAACTGAAAAGTGGGGCGTGCAATATTATTTGGCCCCTTTACTTTCAGTGCAGCAAACTCAGTCCAGAAGTTCAGTGAGGATCTTTGAATGATCCAATGTTGTCCTAAATGACTGATGATGATAAATAGAATGCACCTGTGTGTAATCAAGTCTCCGTATAAATGCACCTGCTCTTTGATAGTCTCAGGGTTCTGTTTAAAGCACAGAGAGAACCATGAAGACAAAGGAACACACCAGGCAGGTCCGAGATACTGTTGTGGAAGGGTTTAAAGCCGGATTTGGATACAAAAAGATTTCCCAAGCTTTAAACATCTCAAGGAGCACTGTGCAAGCAAATATATTGAAATGGAAGGAGTATCAGACCACTGCAAATCTACCAAGACCCGGCCGTCCCTCCAAACTTTCATCTCAAACAAGGAGAAGACTGATCAGAGATGCAGCCAAGAGGCCCATGATCACTCTGGATGAACTGCAGATAACTACAGCTGAGGTGGGAGAGTCTGTCTATAGGACAACAATCAGTCGTGCACTGCACAAATCTGGCCTTTATGGAAGAGTGGCAAGAAGAAAGCCATTTCTCAAAGATATCCATAAAAAGTCTGGTTTAAAGTTTGCCACAAGCCACCTGGGAGACACACCAAACATGTGGAAGAAGGTGCTCTGGTCAGATGAAACCAAAATCGAACTTTTTGGCCACAATGCAAAAGGATATGTTTGGCGTAAAAGCAACACAGCTCATCACCCTGAACACACCATCCCCACTGTCAAACATGGTGGTGGCAGCATCATGCTTTGGACCTGCTTTTCTTCAGCAGGGACAGGGAAGATGGCTAAAATTTATGGGAAGATGGATGGAGCCAAATACAGGACCATTCTGGAAGAAAACCTGTTGGAGTCTGCAAAAGACCTGAGACTGGGACGGAGATTTATCTTCCAACAGGACAATGATCCAAAACATAAAGCCAAATCTACAATGGAATGGTTCACAAATAGACGTATCCAGGTGTTAGAATGGCCAAGTCAAAGTCCAGACCTGAATCCAATCGAGAATCTGTGGAAAGAGCTGAAGACTGCTGTTCACAAACGCTCTCCATCCAACCTCACTGAGCTCCAGCTGTTTTGCAAGGAAGAATGGGCAAGAATTCCAGTCTATCGATGTGCAAAACTGATAGAGACATACCCCAAGCGACTTGCAGCTGTAAATGCAGCAAAAGGTGGCGCTACAAAGTATTAGCGCAAGGGGCCGAATAATATTGCACGCCCCACTTTTCAGTTTTTTATTTGTTAAAAAAGTTTAAATTATCCAATAAATTTCGTTCCACTTCACGATTGTGTCCCACTTGTTGTTGATTCTTGACAAAAAATGTAATTTTTATATCTTTATGTTTGAAGCCTGAAATGTTGAAAGGTTCAAGGGGGCCGAATACTTTCGCAAGGCACTGTACTTCCTGGTTCTGGTCTGGACTAATGTGATGGTACTTCCTGGTTCTGGTCCTGGAATATTACATCGTTCAATTGATGTGGTTTGAGAGTAAGGCCTCCCAGATTTCACACAGAGTGACTGTCGCCCCCTGCAGGACACTCTGTCTGCTCTGGAGAGCAGCTTCAGTGACAGACTTATTCACCCTCGGGCGGCACGGTGGCTGAGTGGATAGCACTCTCGCCTCTCAGCAAGAAGGTCCTGGGTTCGAATCCCGGTCGGACCAGGGCCTTTCTGAGTGGAGTTTGCATGTTCTCCCCGTGTCTGCGTAGGTTTCCTCCGGGTACTCCGGTTTCCCCTACCACTAAAAATATGTCCAATAGTTCTGGCATGCGCCTCCTGTACTGGCCCCGCTCCCATCTCTGTGTGGAGTGAGACAAATGCCCATAATTAACAATTGTAAACCGCTTTGAGACTCAGATCTGCAGTGAAAAGGCGGTATATAAATAAAAAACTTACTAACTTACTTACTTACCCTCGCTGTGTGAAGGAGATGTTCCGTAGGTCTTTCCTTCCTGCTGCTGTCAGACTGTACAATGAGAGCTGCTCAGGCTGTAAATATCATTCATCTGCCAATGATATTTTACAATATTTTTTAACAATATGATATTTTAAAATGATTTATATTGAAGCATTTACAGCTAGCTAAGAAACATAGCAGCTCCTTGTAGTGTGCTCCCTGTGTCTCTCACTACTGTCCTGTCTGTGCGCTGCAACATCGACATTTCCCACTGTGGGAACGACAAATCTTATCTTAAATATTTAGCTTTGGCAGCTTCGACTCAATCTCCATGAACATGGAACTGCAATCCACGGGACTAAACTGGACACAAATATTGTTCCTCTTGTTTATCTTTTTGTCCATGTAGACTGAGAAAAACAACTTATGGTCTATAAAGTTTGTCTGACACTCGACTTTTCGACTCTGGGCCGAGGTCTCTGGGCCGAGGTCTACAGCGTCTCGACTCTGGGCCGAGGTTTACAGCGTCTCGACTCTAGGCCGAGGTCTACAGCGTCTCGACTCTGGGCCGAGGTCTACAGCGTCTCGACTCTGAGCCGAGGTCTACAGCGTCTCGACTCCGGGCCGAGGTCTACATAGTCTCGACTCTGGGCCGAGGTCTACATAGTCTCGACTCTGGGCCGAGGTCTACAGCGTCTCGACTCTGGGCCGAGGTCTACAGAGTCTCGACTCTGGGCCGAGGTCTACAGCGTCTCGACTCTGGGCCGAGGTTTACAGCGTCTCGACTCTGGGCCGAGGTCTACAGCGTCTCGACTCTGGGCCGAGGTTTACAGCGTCTCGACTCTGGGCCGAGGTCTACGGCGTCTCGACTCTGGGCCGAGGTCTACATAGTCTCGACTCTGGGCCGAGGTCTACATAGTCTCGACTCTGGGCCGAGGTCTACAGTCTCGAGTCTCTCGGGCTGGGCCGAGGTCTACATAGTCTCGACTCTGGGCCGAGGTCTACATAGTCTCGACTCTGGGCCGAGGTCTACATAGTCTCGACTCTGGGCCGAGGTCTACATAGTCTCGACTCTGGGCCGAGGTCTACATAGTCTCGACTCTGGGCCGAGGTCTACATAGTCTCGACTCTGGGCCGAGGTCTACATAGTCTCGACTCTGGGCCGAGGTCTACATGTCTCGACTCTGGGCCGAGGTCTACATAGTCTCGACTCTGGGCCGAGGTCTACATAGTCTCGACTCTGGGCCGAGGTCTACATAGTCTCGACTCTGGGCCGAGGTCTACATAGTCTCGACTCTGGGCCGAGGTCTACATAGTCTCGACTCTGGGCCGAGGTCTACAGCGTCTCGACTCTGGGCCGAGGTCTACATAGTCTCAACTCTGGGCCGAGGTCTACATAGTCTCGACTCTGGGCCGAGGTCTACAGCGTCTCGACTCTGGGCCGAGGTCTACATAGTCTCGACTCTGGGCCGAGGTCTACATAGTCTCGACTCTAAGCCGAGGTTTACAGCTTCTCGACTCTAGGCCGAGGTCTACAGCTTCTCGACTCTAGGCCGAGGTTTACAGCTTCTCGACTCTAGGCCGAGGTCTACAGCTTCTCGACTCTGGGCCGAGGTCTACAGCGTCTCGACTCTGAGCCGAGGTCTACAGCGTCTCGACTCTGGGCCGAGGTCTACAGCGTCTCGACTCTGAGCCGAGGTCTACAGCGTCTCGACTCCGGGCCGAGGTCTACGGCGTCTCGACTCAGGGCCGAGGTCTACAGCGTCTCGACTCTGGGCCGAGGTCTACGGCGTCTCGACTCAGGGCCGAGGTCTACAGCGTCTCGACTCTGGGCCGAGGTCTACAGCGTCTCGACTCTGGGCCGCAGGTCTACGGCGTCTCGACTCAGGGCCGAGGTCTACAGCGTCTCGACTCTGGGCCGAGGTCTACAGCGTCTCGACTCTGGGCCGAGGTCTACAGCGTCTCGACTCTGGGCCGAGGTCTACAGCGTCTCGACTCTGGGCCGAGGTCTACAGCGTCGCACTTTCACTGATGCCGATAACTGCAGATGGAACAATCTATTCTTTTTCTTACTGCAGATGAGTTTTCTTTATAAGTCTGGGTTAGCCCTAACCCTAACCCTGGCCAGTACAGGAGGCACATGTCAGAACTATTGTACATGTTTTTAGTGGTAGGGGAAACCGGACAGACACGGGGAGAACATGCAAACTCCGACCGGGAATCGAACCCAGGACCTTCTTGCTGAGAGGCAAGAGTGCTAACCACTCAGCCACTGTATTATTATAAATACACATAGCATTATGTGTATCTATAATACAATGTATAAAATTGTCCACTCACCTTTGGCCCTCCGCGGGCGGTTATCCCTCTCTAAGCTCGGGTCCTCTACCAGAGGCCAGGGAGCCTGAGGGTTCTGCGCAGTATCTTTGCTGTTCCTAGCACTGCACATTTCTGGACCGAGATGTCCGAGGTTGTTCCAGGGATCCGCTGTAACCACTCTTCTAGCATCGGGGTCACTGCCCCGAGTGCACCGATCACCACGGGCACTACTGTCACCTTTACCCTCCAGGCCCTCTCACAACTGTGACCTTTACCCTCCAGGCCCTC